GACCGAAAATTCATTGCAGACAGAAAGAGAATAATAAAGCTAAATTAAAATGTACCAACGAATTAGTTTTATATTTATAAAGAACATTACCAAAGTTGATCTGAGCCTAAAACCGACCCGCTGAACATTCTGGAAATACTGAGCTTCACAGAGCACACCAAGTGACTGGACAAAGATGAATAAACTTGTCAAGATACGTCACAACCTCTTCAAAATACGCTGCACATTTAACTTCTCAGTTCTCGGCTACTCAATTAATCATCCATTTTGCTCGAAGTTGACGCAGGTCAGTTATCTGTTGCTTGCCAGAAAAAAGTTGAAAACATGATGTTACTTGAGAAAGTAAAAGATAAAAACCATACCACACCAGCGAAAATTGAGAAAGCATAGATGTAACCAATCCAAGTCGGATCGCCTTGTTGCATTGACTGCACACCATCACGAGACAATTATGAACTCTCACGTCAAAACACAAGCTAACAATAACTTACAAATTTTTGAAGCATAGTAAAAAGCATTGAAACTTCATAGACTCGAACATGAATTCCTTGAACCACTTTTGATACAACAAACTGTAATATGGTAGAAGCGAATACTAGTGATGCTTTGGCGAGAAAGACTGACCTGCAAGAGATGACTTAGTAAAACCGGACCCGCAAACTGAGAAAGATCATTTCCAATCTACAAGATGTTTAAGGTAATAAAACTTTAGAGGCAGATAAAGCGATGCTTGTGAAATTTACTCAACAAATACTTTCTGAAAATATTTTGCCTTTCGACTCTATAAACTGGCTATATGTTAATTACCTTGAATAAGCCTCCCCACCAGAATCTACACAGAATATTCGACAAAATCGATTCACATAAGATAGAAATGAAATAAGATGTTACAAAATAGGGTGTTTTATGAAAACTAACTTATTGCTAGAACTGAGAACTTATTCAAAATTCATGAAAATCGTAGTTTAAACATTACCTTCGTCCAAGGCTACGGTTCAATGCTCTTGGAAGCCATGGCTTGAGCCTTTGAGATTCTTTATCCCAACATGTCTGGAACCTGCAAACTCAAAACTGTTATGCATGTTCTGCGCTGGACACACGAAATTATGTCAAAGCAACTGAAAAGGAGGCAACATGAAGCGAACTTTTTAATTAGTGTCTCAGTCTGATCCCACGTATCCAACTTCCAAACATCTGATTCGGTGATGGGTTTTCGATACCCTCGCTGCATGAGTGGAGTCATCCATCCGAAATATATTCCTACAGAGATGCACAAGAAAATAGTAAGTAGCTCTAGAACACATAAGGTATCCCACCAAAACATAAAGAAAAGAAACTTAAAGACCCTAAACCAAAGTTATAAAACTGTGGATTAATTATGCCAAGTTCAAGAATTACTTACTGGAAAATATATTAACATGTCTTTCAGGGAAAATTTGTTCTTCTCCAGGTAGTGCTTCATATTCAACATTATCAAGAAGGTCAGATTGAAGAGGAATGTAGCCCGGATAAGGATCCAAATTAGGAATATAAACGAGAAGTAGAATTCCAAATAGCACCTATATCAGAACAAGAACCGTAGACCAAAATGTAATTAGCATTATATGAAATGATCAGAAACAATGAACTAAGATCAAAGTTTGGTAAAAGTATAACCGGCTTAAGTGTAAATTTTAAATTTCTTCGACAAATTAATGAGATATAAATTACTCAACAAAGTAGAGCAATGGTCTAGAGGCTTATCAGCCATAAAATATTCAGACAGAAAGGCTGTCAGCCTTAATTTGGAGACTACAATATTATGATGGGAGATGAAAGACGAAGAAAAAGGATGAAGATTTTATTGATCTAACAACTTATACACAAGCAATAAAATGAAGGAAACATAATTAGTTAAGAAATTGGGACAAACCTGGCAACAGACCGTGCTTATATACAGATACAGAGTACCTCTGCAAGAGTGAAACAAAAACGAAAAAAGAAAACACTCAGCAATGACTTATATGATAATTATTTCTGAATGGTCTTCAACCTTTAAATAGAAGGGCATTATCTGAAATTGGTTAAGTTAACCATTATTCCCTAAAGTTGAAGTTTTTAGGATGTAAGATGAACAGTTATCGTATATTTGAACATTCTCCCTCATGTGTGGACCTTCCAACAACACTGAAAATAAATCATCTGGTAAGTGAAGGGGAGGAAAACTAACCTGTTGTAGTAATCTGCCACTGAAAGAATAAGGTTTAGCACCACAGCATCTCCCACCAAGACATAAATGACTCCAAACCTTACATACCACCGGAATTCCTTTATGTATATCTTAGTCTCCAAGCCAATCATAATTAGCATGGAGCACCAAGCAATTGCCTCAATGACTGCAGAAGTCATCTGCAAGCGGTTACACTACGCACGTAAGCTTCATTTCGTATTACAATTTACTGTAGATTCATATCAATAAGGCACATATCAAAAGTAGCACAAAACTAGAAAATAAAAACATCCCACCTCAAAAGGAGCAGAGCCAGATTGTGTGTTCAAGTTAAAAAATGACATGCCCATCAGCAACCTCAGAAAGGGCTGTGCAGTGAAGTAACCAGCCAACAAACCCAAAATGTAATTGTAGTAATTTGACCTCAATTTAAACCTCCGGGCCTTTGAACTCATCTTGATCATCCATATCCGGTAGCAGCAAAGGCCCATAAGAACTAAGTGAGAAATGCAGATGGCCAGGGAGTCAATTACACAAGGAGTGTATGAGCCAAAAGCACTTGCTGCTTTAGCTGCCCACACCCAATTAGCTCCTGGTTGGCAATACCAATCTATAGGCACAAAAACCATAGCTTGTGGTGGCATGCTCGCAATCCAATACAATTAACTTCCTGCCTATACCCGAGGCTCAGAAATTTGGGGTATACAACCCCAAAACAGATGTTCACTACTGAAGGCACACTCCAAGTACAAACTCATACTTCTTAATGCAATCTTACTTAATCTCAAATTTCTTACTTACTTCACAAGGAAATAATTTCTCACACAGAAGCACTTCCTGCAATATTAACAAACACACTAATTTCAAAACATGAAAAAGCAGATTCAAAGATTCAATTTTTGTATAGAAATAAGCCAAAAGCATTAGCTGCTTAATGTGTGAGCCAAAAGCACTTGCTGCTATAGCAGCCCACACCCCATTAACTTCTGGTTGACAATAATAAACAGAATCAAAGATTCAATTTTTGTATGCATCAAAAACCCACCTCCATTTTCAAAGTTTGTATCTAATTATATCAACAAATAAACAATGAGAAGTGGAAAGAGAAGAAAGCCGTCATCTTTGAGCTCAGTTGCAGAGGAAAAAGAGAACCCAAAAATCCCAGAAAAATGGGCAACAAGTTAAAGCAGAGAAAATTATATATTCCACGTCCAAAACGCAAATTTCCAAATTCAATAGGTAGCAACGATATATTTATTTATTTATAAATTAAAGAGTAGCAAATAAACAACACAAATCAGTCACTGCACACGTCACGGCTTACGGAAACCACACTCCATTGACTGGGAAAACGACATGAAATTGAAGTCAAAGAGAGTAAATAATTGGCGGGTATTTGGAACCGCATATATCATGCTGGTTTGGTAGTGACACCCTCACGAGTCAGCCAAATGAGAGGATTCGGTTCCGGACCACAAGATGCCGAGAGGATCTAAATTCTGTCGACAATACATGATCTTTCTTTATGGAATACGATGAGTGTGTGACTTCTGAGAAAAAGTTCTCGATTAGAGATAACAACTTCTTTTTTTTTATCATAGAACAAAATCTTGAATGTAAACGCTTGTATATCTTTTTTTATTTTTATTATTACGTAATATATATGATCAAGGAGATAGAGAGATGCAAACAATTATATGGACAATGATTGTCTGCCCTCCCACTTCCGTGCTCTCCTATTTGTGTGGGCAGGGTTAAACCACGTCAACATTTTATATTACTATTCATTTTTGTCTTATTATCTCTATAAAAAAAAACAATATAAAATGTTGACGTGGCTTACCCGTGATCACACACAACAGGAGGGCACAGAAAGGCACCGGAAGTGAGAGTGCAGACAATCTTTGTCCCAATTATGTAGGCACTAAGGAATGTTATAGTTACGACGCTTGACTATGGAGCTGAGGCAATCTAATAGAGAGGCTAAAGCTCCAAAAGTTGAAAAATAGTTTGAAATGCCAAAAAACTAATCTTCAATAAATGACTAGGTTCTTGGGCTATAATTCTACGAGCCCAATAAACCATTATTCGGCTCAAGGCGCATCAGGTTGGCCAAGTGTAGGCCACCTATCAGCCCTTTTTAGGACAACTCTTATGATGCAATAATTAATTTAAATTCAACGACTAGATATAAAAACATTCAACAGTAGTTTTAATAAATTAATCAACAAATTTAAAATATAAACTTAAAATTAATAAATTATTGAGGGGATTATGTTTAACTCCTTCAGTTGAAGATGGTGTATGTGTATAATTTGACATTATTTATTTAAAATTATTTTTTTGCAAAACTATAATCTGGATTGGCCTATGTTTAGCCCATTCAATTGGAAATGATCTCAAATCCTGAGAATTAGTATGTAATGATTGGAGACTTGTTCCACTAGAGCTTTTGAATTAAATAATTGAAAATTAAATTACAAAATAAACAAGAAAATGTAAAAAAGGACAAAAATGTGCCCGAAAATTATTTTCCAAAATATGTTAACTAAAGTAGACTACGTCACCTTCTTCACATCTCTCTTAATCCTCCTAGTCCTTAATTTTTCTTTGATTTGTTCATTACAACGGTTGAAAAAAAATAGAAACGTAAAAGAATGCGCGTAAATTCTTTTCCCTTCCATTGTCCATCAGAAATACATCGTTTTATTTTAAAAATCGACTTAAATTAAGTGATTTCTAATATAACAATCTCTTTTTTAATCCACTTGGCAGGAAAGTTTAAGTTTTGGAACCCAGAAATGGCCAATTGTTATAGACAGTAATTATCCTACACAACATTTGAGCCACTGCATTAGGTAACTACATCTACAAGCATAAGCAGTTTTACAGCTTACTGTTCGTTGACACTGGACAATCCATATCAAGGATTTGTCCGTCGTCGAAATTAACACAACAGAAAATGGCGATCTGAAATACCAGATCGTCCTCGGTGTTTTCCCGTGTATGAATTTCACAACGGACCAATTTATTGCCATATCCGAGACCCGAGCAGGACAGCTTAGAATGTCCTGTGACTACCACCCTCACAATATAAAATCCACTGGAAAAATTGCAGTGTGTAGAAGCTAAAGCGGTAACAATTAGTAGTATGAAACTGCTTTCACCAAGCCAGAGACAGTTTTCCTACATGTCAGCATGGTCCCAGTCAATTCTGTCGCCGACATTTTCTGTTTGATGAAGCCGGTTCCTAGCTAACCTGCTCATCACAGCAAGACCTGGAGAAAAAATCGTTTAAACGCAGTCAGATTTGGAACACAGATGAAAACATTCATCCAGAATCTACTAATTCTGTTTGCGGAAATAATGTGGGTTGAGAAAACAACTGGAGTCACACGGTACCTTCAACCATTTTGTAGAGAGCCGACCACCACCCATCTCTAGAGATCTGGTTTTGATCAAGAGACTCTTCGATCTCTTTATCGTGCTTTCCTTCCAAAACTCCTCGGAGTGTTATCACTGCATCCTTCGTCTTCTTGAGGATGCTGTTCTCGTCTTCAATTTCCAACCTTTGAAGGTCATTCTGGGATGAACTGAGGCTCACAGCTACAGCAAACTGAGCAGCCGCAGCCCAGCGAGAAGAGGCCAGCCATCTCCTCTGTCCATCTATTTGTCTGTTTTCTTCTCTCGCCAACCTGTTTTCTCCTTCCCCTCCAAGTACCAAGCTTCGTAAATATTGAGCATTCGCTGAGCCTGTACTTTGGACCATTTTAGAGAAAGCGCTTCCTTCGTTAGACAACAGGCGCTCTGGTGTATCAAATTCTCGAACCTGGAAGCACAAAAAGTGATCAACAAAAAAGAAAACGACTTAAAAGCTTTTAAGTTCAAAAGCTGCCAAGAGCTCTCGAGTATAATTGACTCAAATTTACAATATGGATCCCATAAGACATAATTCATAACCTCTCCACACTGGAAGTCAAAAATCAGCAGAAAATAAAACAATGAATGATAAGTAACTCTGATTAAAGCATACCCGGCCAGCATCAAGCAGAAGGATTCGGTCACAGTCAATAATGGTATTTAGACGATGAGCAATAATAAGCATTGTACATGACTTAAATTCTTCGCGAATAGTTTTTTGAATAAGAGCGTCAGTTCTGACATCAACAGCTGCAGTCGCTTCATCAAGAACAAGAATCTTTGATCTTCGCAACAATGCTCGGGCAAGACTTAATAATTGTCGCTGTCCAACACTGAAATTATCTCCTGCCTCCGAGACCTTGACACATCACAAGTAAGAGAGAATTAAGACACTATTGCATTAAGGATATGACTTCTTTACCACCCCTTGAGTAACCTCTAAATGAGGAAGAACCTATATACAATAAGACCGAAATCACATCAAGCAAAGTTGAGCGTATACCTCAGCATCTAATCCCAAAGAATTCCTCCTGATGGCATCCTTCAGATGTGCCCTCTCTAAAGCTTCCCAGAGGTCAGCATCATTGTGTTCTTGAAAAGGATCGAGATTAAACCTCACAGTTCCTGAGAAAAACAAAAAAAATAGGATCATTAGAACAAACGTACTTTATTAGGTGTTGTCAACTAAAACATATCAACTTCTTACTGCTTCTGACTAATATTATAGCTTCCTAGGTCAACGTTTGCACGTACCTGAAAAGAGAACTGGTGACTGAGGTATGATACCAAGAACTTTACGTAGATCTGTCAGTCCAAACTTAGCGACATCATAATCATCAATCAAAATTCTTCCTCTTTCTAATTCAACAATCCGAAATAATGCATTTATCATGCTGGACTTTCCTGCACCAGTCCTTCCAACAATTCCAACCTTGTCAGTTGGAGAAATTGTGAAAGACAACTCATGTAAAACTGGAGGAAGTTCAGGTCTATAACGTAAAACAACATTCTCAAACTTAATAGATCCAGATGAAGGCCACCCTGGAGGGGGGCGGTTGCTCTCAATTACAGCTGGACCCTCTGAAGGCAACTCTATATATGTACCAACCCGCTCAACAGCATTTAAGCTATTCTCAGCCAGACTTGCAAGTCTCAGAACAGCAGTCAATAAACTTGTAATATTAAGTGCATAACTGAGAAGGAGACCCATAGTGGATGCAAACTCCTGCTGGTTCTCTGCCCTTCCGTTCTGCATAACAGCAAAGGTAGCCGTAAACCATATCATGAGACCTCCCAATGTTTCCAAACGAATTCCAAGCCAGCGGTTTCCACTCATGTTCACCAGTGTGAATCTGATATTGTTGTCCACAGATTTTCCATTAATGTCTGCCATCCGATCATAAGCTTTATATGCACGAATAGTTGCTAAACCATTCAGTGCTTCACCAAATTGTGCATAAACAGGGGATCTGCTGATGGAGTCCAGGCGCTTTACCTCACGAGCCATGCTCTACACCAATAGAGAGAGAAAAAATAGAGGACATTAGACAATACAGAGTGCAAATAAAAAATTGATACCAAAGTGACCAACACGGTAATACAACAGGCTAAGTACATGAAACCTAGTAACCCTAAGTTAAGGGTGACTCCAAAAGCATATCAAACATGTAAGAATCATGTACCTGATAGTAGAGATAGGCTGCATAAAACAAAACAAGAAGTGGCATAATGGCCCACAAGGACATAGTGCTCACGATCCCTATCAAGATGAAGGTAGAAAGGAGCTGAGAGACTTGGCCAAGAAACATATTCACAAATGGAGCAACATTCCGATCAATGTCTCCAAGATCCTTTGCAAATCTATTTATGATCCGTCCAAGGGGATTGGTTTGGAAGAAGACCATTGGAGCTCTTAATATAGAGCTAAGCATGGCCTCATGCAACCTCCTAGCAGCATAAAGACTAGAAGTAATCAACCAATAAGAGTTTGCCAGTGTCACCAAAACCTGAAACCAAGAAATGTAGTTGGATTTTCATCACAAGAAACAAGGTGGTAAAAGTGCTTCAAGTTTCTCTGTACAATTCGATGCAAAATCCTCCACAAGATAGTTCACACCAATTACAACACCTAACTTAAAGCAACTGCTGTATAACTGTGTTCTTACCTGACCAAATGATAGAAGTGCATAGATCATGTTGTAGAAACCGGGGTTATAATTCCCTGTCATGCCTTGATCAGTCCAATGGCTCAACCATGTGCTACTTGAAACTCGTAGAACCTCGGATGAAATATAGCACATAAAGAGTATCATAACCACCCACAAGCCTCCTAACGCATCCTTATACCTGGATAAGATAAATTGCAAATTTACAAGACTTGTAAGCATTCAATACCTAGGTAATGTGCAACTAGCACATAGTAGTAGTCCCTTTCACAATGTATGTGCAAAAGAAGTCCAATTGACGATAAACACCTCTGAGACCAAGATTTCTTAAGAATTAAGGGATGACTCAATGTACCAGAGTACTAGGGGAATTCAAGGGGATACTGAAATTTTGTTATTGAAAATCTGATTTACCTCGCCAAAACTTTCAAGCTAACAACGCCTGTTTCCCTTTCTTCTTGTTTGATAAGAACAGATTTTCCTTCTTTTGGTTTATTTGCTTGGCTTGTACTTTTTGGTATACCATTAACCATCCCATTAACAATAGGTTTTGAAGAGGCACTATGCTCCATCGTTTCATTGTTTTGATCAATGGTTCCACCATCTTCTTTTTCTTCTTCTTCATATTCTTCCATCTTTCCTGCGTTTTCCATTAGCCTTTTGAACAGCGTGCCATTATTGGAAAGCTCTTCAAATGTTCCCTCCTCTTTCACCATACCTTCATGGACCAGGATGATTCTATCAACTTGTGAAAGGAAATGTAGCTGATTTGTAACAAGAACCCTGGTTTTCTCTCTCAATTCTCCCCTGATACATTTATCAAAAACCTGGTATGATACATAAGAAATGTTACACGACTACACAAAAGAATAATTAATAACCAACTTTCAGCAGCCAGAGATAGGGCTTGCAAGTGTAGAAAGAAATAACATAATTAGGAAAATGCAAAAGAAAAGATAAACCAGCGTGTATTTACTACTTAGCCATTGCACATCTTTTCAATAAAATATCCATAAGCCTTACAGTAGAAATATAAGGAAGATAGAACTATACTAGTAGAATCACAGGACTTAAATAGGAATTTGTCAAAATTAATCAGTGATTATGATCCGCGAACACAAATGCTTAAATAAAGGTATGCCTATGTGGGTAAGTCCAATTAACTCTGACAATACAAAGATTCAACCTAGTATCTGAAATACTTGGTAACTTACCAAGAACATGCTTGTGGAGATGACAAAAGACATGCTAACAACAGATCATAGATTATTTTTTATATTTAAAATTAGAATGTAGGAGCAATAAGGATAAACCAACTCTTGAAGTGAATAACTTAAGTGAGATGTAAAATAGTAACCTGTCGAGCCACGTGAGCATCCAGAGCACTCAAAGGATCATCAAAAATGTATACATCAGAGTTGGAGTAGACAGCTCTAGCCATAGAGACTCTTTGCTTCTGCCCACCACTAATATTCACTCCTCTTTCACCAATCTCGGTCAGATCACCACCCTACAGTGAAACAAGCGAGAAATTTAGGCCCACAAATTACCAGGTAGCATCGGAAGTTTGCAAAATGCACTATAAGAGCTAACACGATAGAACTCTAACAGCACTTACAGGCAATAAGTCCAGGTCATGCCTCAATGCAGTCACATCTATTGCCTTCTCATATCTTCCGGAGTCAAAGTATGATCCAAATAAAATGTTGTCACGTACCTGAAAACATAAATTCAGAAAGTGACCCATTTGCGTGAGCAAGTAGATTGCATTGTAATAATTTAGTACTCAAAGTTAAACTATGTCCCAGGGCTCTGTCTCCAACTAAATTACCTTGATAACAAGAACAAGTACTATTTGTGACAGCACATTTCAATCACAAGAATTTCCAGATTCACAGAAACAGTAAATAAATGCAAAAATTCAAACACATACTTTAGAAAGACGTAAATAAATATATAAAATGGGGATGCTCAAAACTTACGGTTGCATTAAAAATCCATGAAACTTGTGGAACATAAGCAACCATTCCTCTCATTACAACACTTGATTCTGCTACAGAAGGAAGCTCCCCTAGCATTGCAGATATAAGTGATGTCTTTCCTTCACCAGTACTGCCAACAATTGCTACCAAGCTCCCAACAGGGATATCCAAATTAACATCCGTCAGTGTGGGCTTCTCTGCCTGAAGGAAAACATATATGTCAGGTCTGTTTGTTTCACAGAGAAAATGCAAAACACTTCTAAGCTTGTTCAAGCACTAGATTACTTATTTACAGAATCCTTCTACAATACACACAAACTTATATGATGTAAGCACTACGAAAACTAAAATTGGACACCAGAAATAAAAGCTGAGCTCAAGCCCGTAACAAAAATGTACAACTTGACCATATACATGAACACATATAGGAAATCATGAATCAAATGTGCGATGAACATATTCATTACAGCCACAGAGAAACTAAAGAAACATTATCAATTAGACCTTTGAGTCCCAAGAAAAGTTTCCATTCTTAATTGAGATGGCCGGCAGTCCTGGATCAAGAGGAGGGTTTGGCAGAAGAACTCTCTCTTCAGCTAAAAGTAGCTCCTCTAGGCGCTTTAAGGATACATTGGCATTAACCACCTGTAAAAGTAAAGTAATACTAGAAATTAAGTAACAGAAGAAAACATGTGAGAAGTTCACATAGTTGGCAGACAAAGAACTTTATTTGATGATTTACAAGAAATTGAAAGAGAGTACATAATGCTGAAGAGGCTAACATATTTTTAAACTGCTTATTCAAAGTATTGGCAAGAATTGTGTTCAGAAAAGAACCAACAGGATATAAAACACTGAAATATTCTTGCATATACATCACAATACCCAAAAAAAAAACATCTTCAAGAATAACCTAGAGTTTGAACCACGATAAATGTTTTGAGGAAAATATTATCATTTTTGGGTACCAGGAAAGAAGTTGAACCTGGGTTATTATATTAGGAAGCATGAATAGGGGAAACCGAAGCACAGCAAACAGAGAAAGTGAAGTAAATGCCCTTGAAGGTGTAAGATCCCCACCAAGAAAAGTGAACAATCCAAATGAAATCACAGTGACTACAACTGGGGTGCTATTTAGTATAAATCCATTGCACTGCAAAAACAAGGGAAAGAGTCAGTTATAAAAAAAAGGTTGACATTCGTAACATCTATCTCAAGGAATTTGGATATGTACATGATCATGATTGATGCAAGATCATGCAAAATGCCTACTTCAGTAATCAACTGTAGCATTCTGATGGCATGTCATGAATAATGAAATCAGAAGAGATTTTCTTATAGGAATGAAAACCTTCTAAAAAAGAGAAATGAGAAGAATTTACATCAAATGGGTGGATATGGTAAGAAAACGAAATTTCAGAAAATATTGCCATACCGCTCCCAGCAGTGATGCTTTTCGAAACCAGAACAACTCATCAGTTCGAACACTATGCACCTTGGATTGGAAACTACTCTCCCATGCATAACATCTGAGCCATTGGAAAATACACAATGAAAAACAGTACATATAAATCCCCCTAACATATATAGGCATGTCACCAAAATTGAGTCATACTTCACAGTGTCCATTGCTGCCAAAATTTCATTCATCAGACCAATTCTTTTGTCTGTACGCTGTAACCCCTCCTTGGACAATTTCTGCATTTTGCTGATCACAAATGTCTGTCCCAAGTAAATCACAAAGATTAGGACACATTAAATTGAAAGGATATCTAAACATGTATAAGGTGGAAAATATAAAACTGTAGTGTAGTTACTAACTACTCAGCACAGACGGGCACACTCCATTGTGATAGTAATGTAGTCACTACTCAGAATTCTTTTAGGTATAACTAAAGCATATTAACATAGTTTTTATGCAAAACAAGCAAAATCAAATGGAACAACTATTTTACCTGTAGGGGGAACAAAAGAACTAACATGAGGGCACCAAGTAGTGAAGCAACCCCCAATTGCTGATACAGAAGAACCATGGAGATAATGATACGAAATGGAGCCTGACCACAAAGTATGAAGAGATTGGGATATTTGCTGTGCAAGGAACAAAAACAAATTAACCAACCAACCAAAACATCTTCACAAATAATAGCACAAAATGATTAGTACACTTAATTTGTTTGGTACCACCTGTATATATTTTGAAAAGGATGAGATAAACCCAAATCTCAATTGAAACAAATTTTGAGTAGAGAATAAGTAGAAAAAGAAAACTTCTTATGTTCTGAGATTAAAGTGTCCAGAAAAGTGTGGCTCCAATCGCACATTCAGGGGTTTTACTATCGTCTGACTGCAGGAAATTGCTATAGTAATCTCTAATTAAACAATTAATTTTCACTTTCAAAAGATAATTTTTAGGACACATGCAAAAACTGTTCAGAGTGCGTACCTGAAGTGTTTCAGCATCAGTTGTCATCAAGTTGGTTATCTTCCCAGAGGCAAACTTCTTTCTTGCTTCATGAGTCAGCCTTAAGGATTTCCGAAATACAGCAGCAACCTAAAATACGAAAAGTATAGAATCATGCTTCACAAAATGATATATCAAGATTAATAGCAAGTCTTGCATACCTTCATGCAATTATGAGTTCAATACTTCCCCACGTTATTAGACCAATCAGAAAACCATACAACTAGCTAACCCCTCAACATAAAACACTAAAAATAAACCCCACTCAAGAACTCCTAATTAACCAGCTAAATGTCGCAAGCCCCCAGTAAATAGCATAGTAAAATTGTTTTTGAGTTTGGCATTCCATGATTCAAACCAAAAACCTTGCCATATCAAAACCAAACATTTATAGACATCCCTGAGCTAAGAATCTACTGCAAAATTCCAATCCTCACTCGCCCAGGGACCATGACCAAGTAAAAGGCCCACAAACTGATAGACTTGCATTGGTTGCTAAATCTCACACATGCCATGCATGTGAAACGAAAGTTATACTGGGAGGGAGAGTGGTGGGGGTAAAAATGTTGAAGCATTTTTCTTATATTTTTAATTTTGAAATGATTGTTTATTACCGATTCACCCTTACTATATTAAAATCCTTCAACGTAAAAATGAACATAGATGGAACTTAGTCAAAACTCCTCGACAAAGTGGCTTCTCTTAAATAACAGTATAATTTGGTGACAGAATGGCACTGATGATATTACCAACATGGAAAAATACAAACGTAAATTAGAATGCGGTTAATAGCATTAAAATGAGGTTGGAAAAAGTAAAAACAAAATACCAAGGTTGACCGAAGCCGGAAGCCAACGCGCATGACATTCTGAAAATACTGAGCTTCACATAACACCCCACCAACCTGAAAGCAAGGCACATCTCTCATTAAAAAAAAATGTAAGATAAGTTCCAGGGTTCAAACACCAGCTAGTGGATATTGTGCAAGTTTCTTAGGGAAAAACAGGAACTTCAAGAAAAGAGGGAGCAGGTTATATTAGGTAAGCAATTTTTGTCAATTCACCAAGCAGGGTAACTGCAACATCCCTTGAAATTGATAATGCAGCAAGAGTATGCAAATATGTGTGATACTAAAGGGTAGCTGTGCAAAACAATCTATGCATTGGAAATGACGTAAATACAAAACAGAGGGCTTATATCATACCACTCCAGCAAATATTAAGAAGGCATAGATGTAACCAATCCACGCTGGATCCCCTCGTTGCATAGACTGCAGACAATTTCAGATTAAATAAAAGAAGGATTATGATAATTACAATAAAGGATCAATTTCCAGGACTCTGATACACTATATCTGATTTCAGAGATATGCAGGAATTGTGACACACCAGTAACATAAGTTTCAAGATAAAAACACAAAGAATTAATGCATCATGGATCAGTATCCACAAAATTAACACACCTGGAGAAAGTTAGGTTAAAGCTAATCTAACATTACAGAATTAACACACCGGGAGAAGGTTAGGATAAAGCTAATCTAACATTACAGAATTAACACACCTGGAGAAGGTTAGGATAAAGCTAATCTAACATTACAGTGACAACAACTTTTGGGTCATTGAAGCCTCATCGTTGTTTTCTTTTCTTTATTTCCTAGTCAAAACTTCAAATTAGTTATCAGTGTTTCAACAACAATTTCATGACCAAAACACACAGAATTCAGGAATGCTTGACTAGCACAAGTTAAATTAAAAAACAGCCCTCATATGGGCCCAATCATCAATATCCTTATCCCTACTGATTTGCATACTGAAATAATTAGTACCAGAGACGGACAACATAGAAAAGGGAAGGGTATAAACAATAAACACAAACCTGTAAGAGATGATTCAAAATAAGCGGCCCCACAAATTGGGAAAGATCATTCCCGATCTACACATTGTCAACAAAACAATAAAATAAGTTATAGCAATCGAAGCGTTCAACTTTACCATGCAAAACTTTTCAGACAGAAAATAGAAAATAACTCTTCGTATGTAGGACAACTACCTGAACAATGTGACTAGCACATATGCTGGACTAAAAACTACTAAACAAGCAACACAATCCAATAAAAAGTAAAAAGTAAAACAACAATGGCAAAGAGCAGTAAGTGTTGATTAAAAAGTTAAAAACATATACTATTCCAATAAGTGAAATATGAGTGTAATGCCCTTTGCATACTATTACATGTATCAAACTTTGCAGACTACTACCAAACATAAGCAATTCTGAAGAACGAGCTAATTACCTTCCAAAAGCCTCCAAACCAAAACCTATAAAGAGCACAATAAAATATGAATGAGAAGCATGTACATATAGAACTGCATAGGACGCGCAAGGGCAGTAATGACAATAAAGTGAAGAAGATTCACATCTAAGCCATGGGTCATGAAAATATTACCTTCCACCAAGGCTAGAGTTCAATGCTCTTAAAAGCCATGGTTTAGGCTTTCGACGTTCCTGAGCCCAACATGCTTGGAACCTGGAAAGCCAGTAAAAGAATTATGATGAAAACTATGATGTACTAGTTTAAGTGGAAACCAATTTGAAAATAACAAGCACACACTTATTGTTCAGTGTTTCAGTACGATCCCAAGTATCCAATTTCCAGATATCTTTCTCTGTAATGGGTCTTTGATAGCCTAGCTTCATAAGGGGATTCACCCATGAAAACAACATTCCTGATAAAAACACAACCAAGATATGAGTTGAGAAATAAGCCATGGAAAGAGGGTTCAATGCAGTCTTCAGAATATTATGAATGGTCTATACTCTATATCCTTTGTCTTTGTATCATGCAAAATTAGCAAGCAAAAAACAAATACAGAGCGAGGAAAAAAAAACTAAGACTAAAATAGATTGAAATGGATTTTAATCAAAGTTAACTACATGAAACAGTAGCACAGATGTCAAACAACAAAGAAATAACCTTTAACAAAAGCATTTTATGATGGTTCAGTAGACCATACTAAAGTTGGCATACGTACAAAACAGAATTAATTCACTAACAATCACACTAGCTCTATCAGCATTTAATTCTCTATAAATTTTCTTAAATGTCAAGTATTAGGATCTTATCAAAATTATATACATACTTGACAATATGTTTGCATGCCTCTCAGGACATATTTGCTCCCCTCCAGGAAGTTCTTCATATGCAGCATCATCAATTGATTCAGTACGGATTGGAGTATAACCAGGATAATCGACCAATTTTGGAATATACACAAGCAAAAGTATTCCAAACAAACCCTACATCAGAGTGAAAATACATATATAAAACAATTTGACATTCGATATGCAGTCTAATCAAACATAAAAATAGCAACCTATAATAACGAACAGTAGTAGAGTTTCCCACCTTTTATTCTTTGTTTCTCTTTTTATTGAGTTTTGGTTTCTTATAAAAACAGAAAGGCTTCTGTTTCCCACCTTTTTTTTAATTTAAACATACTTCCCATCTGTTTTTACTAAATAATTTGTACCTATGTTAGACCAACTGGCATACACAATGTATGTGCCACGGGGCAGTGCAGGATGACTAGGCAAATTAGACTGCTTAAACACTATTTCACTACTTTTAAGAAGAATACCCTAAACATTGTGTGATAAAATTACAAAAAGTAGGACATAAGAGGAAAGAAAAGCATAACCAGCGAAAATTAAGGTTAAAAGCGAAAAACAAGCCAACAAACCTGGGCAACAACTTCACTGATGTACAAATATAGTACAGATCTGCAAGGGTTACACAGGAAGATTGTCAGTTTGTCTTGCACAACCAAAAACCTCCAAAATGTACTAGCAGAGTGATATAAAACAGAAACAAAAACTTTGAAAATATAAACAGTCAAATCAATTATTGGTAAGGCAGTACCAGTTTTAGGTAAACAGACACACAAACCTGTGGTATAAGTCCCTTAGTGAAAGAACAAGATTCAGCATCACGGAATCCCCCACTAAAGTATAAATTACCGCAAATCTAACAAACCATCGGACCTCACGGATATAGATCTTAGTTTCCACACCAATCATTACCAGCATAGAGCACCAAGTAATGGCCTCTAATATCAGAGAAAACACCTGCCAAGAAAAGATGAAACTAAAATATTAGGCATATGAGTGTAATCTTACAGAAAGTTTGTTTTTGTACACTTTCTTCTCCCTTCAATGACAGTTTGTTCCTTATCCAGAAAAATAAAATGTGTAGGTTAATGATACTCGCATGTGCAAAATGCTAATCCTATGGTCTAAAGCTAACTGAGTTTTTTAAGTGTAAAACCCCTAATTTCATTGCATTTGAATTGATCACAGTTCGTGACTTGTTAAACTCGATATCTCCTCAGAAATTTTGGGAACTTGACAGCTGAAATTTTCTTTAGTTCCAAGTACAAAACCTTGGTTTCTTTTGTCACTTTACTTAATGGGTGAGGAGTACCAAATTACCCTACATCTGATAAATGAAAACATTGGTTTCTTCAATTCACTTCATTTATTTGTAAATTTAACATAAAAAGAATTTTATCTGTGCTAACTACGGTAACACAAACGCTAAACGATTAATTCACAGTACACAACAAATCAACAAACCAACCTCAAATGGTGCAAGGCCAATCTGCCCATCTAAATTCAGCACTGAAATTCCCATGATCAAGCGGAACAAGGGCTCGGCGGTGCAATAAGCAGCCAATAAACCCAACATATAATTGTAAACTTTGGACTGCAAACAGAACCTCTGGGCTTTGAAATCCTTCTTGATCCGCCATGTTCGATAAATGCACAGGCCCAGAACAACCAAATGAGAAACGCAGACAACTAAAGAATCAACCGCGCAAGGCGTGTATGCACCAAAAGCATTCTCCACTGCTCTTGTCCAGACCCCACCGGGCACCGGGCGGCAATACCAATCCAAAGGCTCAAAACCCATCTTTTTCGTCACTTTTTTCACAAGAATTATTCGCTTTTAAAGCACACAATCCATCACTCGGGCCTCTCAGTCCCCACTGTGAGCTATTCCTGCATTATATGATAAAATTGAATTTAGCCACACAAAAAAAACCCAGGAACCAATGAAATCTCTTTAAAGGGTAAAATAAAAAACAGTAAAAACTCCAACTTTTCAGATTAATGGCATACTTTTCTTACTAGCTTAAACTTTTTATCCACGAGAAATTACTATGGCTCGAAAGAATATGAAAAAATAAATAAAAACATTCAAGCATTCTACTTTTCTAAGCACCATCGTTCTCAAAAATCCCTAAGAAAAAGTTCAACTTTCCATACAACTTCAAAATTTTCAGAAATTCACGAGGAGTTTTCTGTTTGCCACAGTTACCAAAACTCAATATCTATTCTGGCAGTGTACATTTTCTCAGTAACCAAACAGAGGACTACAATCAAGCTAGAAAATGAAATTTCTTCAGAAAGCAAACTTACAGAAACGTATAAAGCATTTATTAAGCCAAAAACCAAAACTCATAAATACAGAATTCATAATTTTCAAATTTCAAAAGCACTGAACGCCTCAGAGACTGGTCTTGCACTCAAAAACCCAGAAACAAAAACTGAAAGAGCAAAAGCGCTGCATTCAAACGAGCAGCTGACGACCTTCTCAGATCAAAAAAGCGAAATTTTTGGGGGAAAACAAAAGAATCAAAAGCTGTTGTTTGGATGCCGAGAAAATGGAATAAGAACAATCCCAATTTTCATGGAAAGTTTTGATTACCCTTTTCGTGCTTTTTCTTTGTGTGTAGCTCCCTGTGGAATTAATGGAAAGGAATTGGTTTCTGGTTCTTTGAGGCTGTGGAGGAGCCGAATACCAAGAGTATTTTGTCATTTAAAAAATCAAATGGGCTTTATTATTAAAAAAATTGGAATAAAAAAAAAATGCTTTGGTTTGGCTTAATGCGTCATCGATTACGATAAAGATAATTTTGTTTGAGTGAGAATGTTTGTTGGGTTCTCTTTTGCCAGGATCCATAAATTTTCTAATCAGGTTCGTTCATCGTATATTGTACGATCAGTTTTTATCTGGTATTATTTATATTTAATTTTAAATAAACAAATTTACAATGATTTTGACCGCACAATTTACGATAAACACATGTGATTAAAGAATCTCTATGATCTTCACAAAAAGATTCCGACGAGAATCCTCCTGGATTTTGTTTTCCTTACTAGCACGAAATATGCCATTATCATGTACTGCAAACTTATTTAACAATAATAAATAGGATGGTGAACAAAAATATACTTTAATACCACTGTACTTGTAATATTTAAGTTATCATGTACTGCAAAACATTTTAATAAAAAATGTTAAAGAGACTCTTAAAATAGAACTCTCACATGTTCACATTATAAAATATTACGTTAAAAACAGTCACTAGAAAATTCATTTCAATAGAATCTCCTTTCTTATCATTTAAACTCTATTTATCATTTTTTTTATAGGTACATTTCTACCGTGTGGTACAAAATAATTGTTTTGGTTTTCCCTATATTGCGGGGATAATGTGGAAATCTGTGCTTTTGTTCTCTTGTGTGTATGATAATGTGGAGGTGGGAAAGAGATTAGGGTATTTTTGTCTTTTTGTTGAGAGAAAAGGCACCTTGTTGTGGTATGGTTAATGATTCTTTAATTATAGGTAGATTATTATGTTGTTATTTTTATTTTGAAATTTTCACTAATAATTCAAAATTTCTTTGCAAATTTTGAATTACGGATATTAATATGTAATTTTATAATTATTTTATTATTCTTATACATAAATAAACTTGTTGTAATTTATAATAATCTAATCATATTTCAACCTATAATAATCTAATCATAAATAAATAAGGGGAGAACAATTCCAACCAATAATAATCTAATCATATTTCCAACAAAATAAATAAATTTTGATCGGCTACTATGTAGTCCGAAAATAACAGCTTATTGTGTATAATTTAATAATACAAAGAAAATTTGTGCAGTCGCATAGCATGTGTCAAATATCACCTGCAAACTCGTTTTTAATTTTTATTCTTAGCATATTTGTTTATTTGTTCCCGAGATTTGTATGGAGTTGTCAATTTTTTTCTTGAATTTTAATTTTGTCAATTATCTTCCTGAACTTTTATAATTAGTCAATTTACTTTTAGAATATTAATTTTGGTCGTTAGCCCCTAAACTTTTATAAACAGCCTATTTCGTTCAGATATGAGATTTTAAAATTTTTCATCCATATTTATCATGCGAACAACGCATGACAATTGTATGAGAGTAAAAAGTATGGGAAATTAGATGGATGAATTTTTTTTAAATCTAACGCAAAGAGAGAAATTGGCTATTCAAAATAGTTATAGGGGTAATTAGCCAAAACTAACGTTCGTAAAAAATCAGCTAATTATCTCTACTAATTAATAAAATACTCATTATCAACCAAAATTCTATGAAATTACCATTTTAACCCTCTAATTAAAGAATAAGAAATATGAGGCAGAAATGTAATTTCACACAACTAAATTTTGCGGTTTTTTTCCTTCAAAGTCTCACCTACATATAATCCTAATATATTTCTAATAAAAAAAATAAAATAAACCTCTCAATCTCACATTCTCTATCACTCTCTTCCTCTCTCCTTCTATTTCAAAAATAAAAATAAATATCACAACACTTTATGTGTGCCCATATACTAATAAAAGTTAAGAAAATAAACGGTTGAAATTAAATTTTAAAAAAGAAGTTAATAACTCTATAGGAACAAATCGATAAATACTAGGAGGCGAGGGACCATTCATATTTGTAACTTTCTGAACGTAGGAGCCAAAACTAAAAACCAAACAGACAAGTCGTTCTCTCAAAAACAAAAAGACTAAAAAGTCCACGAGAAATAGAAAGTCGGCAAACGTGTGATGTGTACCAGTTTTTTTAGGTCAAAGTATCATGTGAGTTTCAATTTGCAGCATAAAGAGCCAAATTAAAATTGCATATCATATATCAAAACAAAACTAAGTTGTAATTTGCAGCATTTCTATAAGGAGTGTAATTTTGTAGTTGACGGGTTAACCAAGTTGAATTTAAGTAGCGAGATAGATTTTCAATAGCTTGCGAAACCTCTTCCTTATTTAGTTCAAATTCTTCCGTTGACTACTCTGGAGTTGCTAGAGCTAGATTAGTTTTTTTTTTTAGTTTTTCTTTTCTCTGTTTTTTTTTTCCACGTTACCGGGAAAAAAAAAAATTGCATCCAACTCAAAGTCGAAAGTGGATGTTGAGCAAAGTTTGGACACAATTTTGTACTAATAAAGTCACGTTGAAATTGAATTTATGATATATGAGTATATTAAAGCGTAGATTGTTTGGTTAGACTGCTAGGAATGACTTGCAGGAATCAGTCGTCTTCAGTCGGCCTTCAAAATCACTTTCAAATTAAGTCCCCAAGGGCCAACCCTTTACTTTAAAAGTCTTCTTTTACTGGAGAGATTTTTCAGTGTGACTGATACATAAAGTGATACATCATATGTCACTATACAATGATGAGATATGTGTGTTAAAAAGTTAATAACTTAAAAAATAAAATTTCTCACCAAAACACGTGGTGTACGACTTGCGTTTCCGTCACAACTAAAAATTTCTCCTTTTATTGAAAGCTTCACCAGCACAACTCCATAATTTATTTGTTTATTTATTATTAATATTAAGCAACCACGAGGAAGTCTGTCGAATATATATAAAGTTAAAACCAATAAGTTATTGACCGGAAGAAAAATATATATATAACCAATAAGTTTCATGAAGTTTTAAAAAAAATGAAAAAAAAAACATAGTCAAACTTATAAATAAAAAATTAAAAAATTAAAAAAACCAAATTAAAATAAAATAATTTAGAAATTTGGTTGAAGAGGCCAACTTTGCTTCTGCAACCAAATTAAATTATAATAATTTAGAAAATAAAATAAAATAAGTTTGCTATCTGGTTTGCGTCAACGGCGTTCAAAGAGTTTTGCTTTATTATTTTTTTAACAATTAATTGACCTTTTTCTTTGGTTGAACAATTCATTGATTTAGTAGGGTGTAATGAGAATTTTAATTGTCACAAGTGAGGTTAGTTTAGGAACTAAATTTAGATTTAAAAAGATAATTAAATCAAATGTTGGTTTAAAAAGTAAGTTAAGTGTTGAGATATAAAATGTGAGTTCAAATAAAATTTTCCTTGAAAATTTGATTTAACAAACACCGCATATTCTTGACTAATGAAGGAAATTTACCATTAGAAAGGAATCTCCTTCTTAATATAAAGCTCAACCGTCACTTAGTATTACGGTTTAGTGATATTCCACTTTATTTGTAAGTGAGAGGTTTTAAGTTCGATTATTGCCAAATACGGCAAATTTGAACCATATTATTACGACTCACCCATTGTGAGGCTTAGCCTACTCCTTCATTCCCTTAGTGTAGATAATATCTCTAGTTCAAAAAAAAAAAAAAAACATAAACCTCAATCATACTAGGATGTATAAAATATAATGATAAATAATTGGTAGTTTAGAACTTTAGAGCATCTTTAAAGGAGATGTTCAAATCAACACTAAGAGTAAAAAAGGCAACAACAATGTTTTCCAATTGAAAAGCCAAATTTGATGTGGTGCATTAATAGTTAAAAAGCATAACAACAATGTTTTCCAACCGAAAAGTCAAATTTAATGTCGCGTGCCAAGGATTCGCAGCTCTCACCTTTACCGCCAAAATTGACCGCAGCTTCAAATCTTTTTTTAGTTGATTATTAAAGGCATTTTATTATTGTTTTTTTGTTGTGAAATATTTATTATAATAGTTTAATATAATAAAATAAGGAAATGTTATTATCACCCTAAAAATATCATTTTGCACTCCTTATAAGTGTATTTTTTTTTTAAATACATAAAGTTTGGAGTATAAAATGAGAATTTAGGAGTGTCAATAACAACTCCCTAAAATAATAGTGTAGTTTGATATATCAGGTGAAGAGCAAAACTTTAAAAGATGTCAAGGTGTTACATAAGCTATTAAATTTAAATTTAATAGACTCTCTCAACCTAAGACTCTTCATAGATTATCTGTCATCTAATGTTTTGGACACAATATTTATAATGTAGGCATGAGAATTAACGTTAAACTGTGTGGAAAGTTTCATTTTTCAGAAAGTTTCCTTAGTATTTCTCTTAAATTAAAGTTTTATGATTAAAATCTGACATTTCTTGTCATTCCGTACTACGGTCTGGTAGTATTTATCTTCATTTGTAAGTGAAAGGTTTTAGGTTCGAATCTCATAGATAACGAATTCAATACCAAATTAGGTTGCTTATTGTGTGGCTTAGCCGAACTCCTACAATTCCTTTAATGTAAAATACATTGTTGTATTAAAAAAAAAATCAGACAAATCTTAATTAGGTTAGGTTGAGAATATCTAGGGGGGGGGATGAGGATGTTTTTGTATGCTTATAAATGAGACACGATACACCAATTATTTTCTTGAGCTTTTGCTTTGTCTAAAATCATGTGGAAGAGACAAAGTGCTGTTTTGATTTTGTCTTGGTTCAAAAAGAATCGTTCACACTATTTTATGGCATTATATGTCAAATGGAATCTCAAGCACCACACCCACTCACTTCCCTTTGTAATTTCTAGGGCTCTAAACTAGGGTTGAAAAAGAATGATTGCTTCCAACTAGCTGTAATTTGTTGGCTTGTGTTTTAGGTGGGGGGGGGTGCTACATAATTACATATTCATATTCTACAAATTGGGTGGCATCTTGTTGGATTCTAAGATGTTAAACTGTTTCGATTCGTCGGGAATATCTCAAATTTTAGAATGTAAATACAGTTGGAGGAGAAGGAGTTGATGCGTTATAGTTGAGGGGCCTGAAGCAATGCTATCTTTGTTTTGACGAAACATAGCAAACTTCGATTGACCGTAGTAGTAAGTGACGCAATTTTCTTTGACTGTTACCTCCTTATGGATTGTAGGTTTTTCATCTCAATTTCTACCCCTTCAAACCAGCAAATTGATTTTGAAGTTGTAAAATGCACATGTTGGGACTAGGGGTGTTTTTCGAAAGGATCAGATCAGAAACGACGTTTCCAATTTCCGTTCCAAAATTTTAGGATTAGATCGGATCGGATCATAATTTTCAAATTCGAAATTTTTGGCTTATTCGAAAATTTCGAAATCGGAGTAATCTCTGCAATATTTATATATTTTATAAGTTTTTTAATATTCTCTAACTTTTTCATACATGCGGTTTATTGTTCTTTCTTAATATTTGATGTATACTTATGTATAAATTCAATTAATTTGTGGTATTCTAGTATGCTTATCATTTTAATATATAAGTATACATATAATATAAAAACAATGATCAAAATGCATCCAAAACTAACAGTAAAATACAAAAATTGACTACAAAATATATAATTTGAATAAATAACTACAAAAATCTAAATTTTTTGTTATCCGAATAAGTTTTGAACACTTTGGAAAATTTCAGATCAGAAATTCGAAATTCTCAAAATCTCTAAATTCATTCTAATTTCCGTTCTAATTTTTTGAAAAAATATGCAAATTCAAAAATTTGACTGGAAATTTGAAACACCATTCCAACTTGCAGCCTTGGCGAGACAGTATACCAAGTTGGACGAGATATTCAATGGGTTTCTTTGGACAAGTGGGCTTGGACAGGCTCCAGCCCAATATCCCATCTAAAAAGCCCATTTTTTGCCTTCAATGAGCCAAAGCCCATCGGTAAACCCGGTCCCTTAAACCCTTCCCTCTTTCCTTGGTTCTTCTCTCTCGCTCGAATCCCAGCACAGCAGTAGCTGACTGCACTCTTCCTGTTCTTCGCTCCCACTTTCTCCACCAGCTCCTCCAGCCCTCGTCTCTTTTCTTCGGTACCGATTGTCGAAGGTAATTTATCTCCAGACTCTCCCTGTAATTGTGCTAATTTTAAGGTTTTTTTATTGAATTATTGATTAATTGCTTAATTTATCTCCAGACTCTCTGTGTAACTGTGTAGTTATGTATGTTAAGTTGTGATTTGGGTTTTTGTATTGTTTTGTTTTTGTTTTGATTAATTTGGTGTTGCATAATTTTACCAATTGCATTTGGCAATGCACTGGTTTTTTCGTGATGATTTCTGCTTTGATTGCAGTGAGTAATGAAATGCTTATTTTTTTAGAGAGAGATAGAAAGAGAGTAGCTTTTGAAGAAAGTACTTTGGAAAAAATCAGAAGGGTGGTTTTTTGTTGGAGAAATACTACTTCTTCCGCACCAGATTTTTTGCAGATTTTGGGTTTTGTTAAATTATGAATCTCTATTTCACCAAATGTTTAGGAAATATTGAATGGGCAGTGCCATTTTGGCGGATAGTTTTGAAGGATTCAAGTTAGCAGAGTGGAGCTAATAAAATCTTTCCTCTCAAGACAGGTGGCTATTTTCCTAATTAAGAGACGAGAATTGCAATGAGAAAGAATGATGTCAATGAACAATGTGTACAAGCTCCACGCTTGGTTCATCAAGATTGGCTGCGACAACCACCCTACGTCCCTTGGACGCCTTCTTCTTGGGTGCACTGCCACATCATACCCTGAAAGCTTAACCTACGCTCGCTCTCTCTTCTCCCACTTTCCCTTTCCGGACACCTTTGCTTACAACAGAATCATTAGAGCCCATGCAGCAGCCCCCTCATCTTGTTGTCATGCACTCTCCTTCTTTACCCAAATGCGTCACCAAGGTGTCCCACCGGATAACTTCACCTTCCCGTTTCTTCTCAAGGCTTGTGCTCGCCTTCAACAGGGTCAAGACCTTCATGCACACATTCTTAAGCTTGGCTTTGATTCAGACATATATGTTCAGAATGCATTAGTTAGTTTATACGGGGGTTGTGGGTCAATTGAGCTTGCAATGAATGTGTTCCATGCAATGGGCGAAAGAGACTTGGTTTCTTGGTCTTCCATGATGTCTTGTTTTGTCAACAATGGCTTTGCATACGAAGCTCTTGCTTTGTTTCAGCAAATGCAGCTTGCAGAGAATCTGATGCCAGATGAGGTTACCATGCTCAGTGTGATATCTGCCATTTCAAGCTTAGGGGAAATGGAATTGGGTCAGTGGGTTCATAAATTTATTTACAGAAGTGGGCTAGAACTTACAGTTCCATTGGGTACAGCGTTGATTGACATGTATTGGAGATGTGGGTCCATTGATAAATCTATCAGAGTCTTCAATGAAATGCCATTCAAGAATGTAAATGCATGGTCAGCATTGATTAGTGGCTTTGCAGCGCACGGCCGCAGTAGAGAAGCCCTTAGAATCTTTTATGAGATGAAAAGCTCTGGCTTGCAGCCAGATCATATTTCTATAACTGGGGTTTTAGTGGCTTGCAGTCATGGTGGCCTTGTTGAGGATGGCTGGAGAGTTTTCAAAAGCATTGGGGATGAGTACGGCATGGAGCCAACACTTGAGCATTATGGTTGTATGGTTGACCTGCTTGGCCGGGCCGGCATGCTTCACAAAGCGTACAAGTTCATTGAGAAGATGCCAATAATGCCAAATTCGGTAATTTGGAGGACTTTGCTAGGAGCATGTGTTAGTCATAACAATCTTGTGTTGGCTGAGAAAGTGAAGGAGAGGGTCCACAAGCTAGATCCTTATCATGACGGCGATTATGTGCTTTTATCGAATGCTTATGGCGAAGCTGGTAGATGGGTTGAAAAGGCAAAGGTTAGGAATTCAATGAGAGAAAAGAGAATTAACAAGAAACATGGCTATAGTTTTATCAACGTAGACCAAGTCATTCATGAGTTTGTATCAGGGGGTAATTCTCATCCCAGGTCGGATGATATTAGAGAGTTCTTAGATAGCATAATTGAAAGTATAAGAGACACGGGGTATACTCCCCATACGAAAAATGTGCTACATGACATTGAAGAGGAGGAGAAGGAGCAATGTCTTAATTATCATAGTGAGAAATTGGCCGTGGCTTTTGCACTCCTGAATGTCAAGGATAGCACGACAATAAGAGTCATGAAGAACCTTCGGATTTGTCATGACTGTCATTCTTTCATGAAGCATATTTCGGCCAAATTTGGTAGAGAAATCATCATTCGTGATCGCAGACGATTCCATCACTTTGTTCAGGGATCGTGTTCTTGTCAGGATTATTGGTGATAGATGGTCCAATCCAGCTCTTCTCTTCCCTTGTAATATCATCTATCAGACTGCTCGTAAATTTTCTTGACCCTCGTTTCTCTTTGTGAACACATATTTGATATTTCTTTGTGAACACATTTAATTCCTACATTCTGCGTTTATGGATATGGTATTACAATCTTTGACTCGTATGAGCCTTCAGCTATATACACATTGCACTATTGAAGCTTTAGTTAAACTCCATAATCTTATAGTCAAGCTGCATGACTGAGGTTTCAGTCCCCATCATCTTAATGCGTCTCAGCATATGCAATTTCCAGAGTGAGAGAATTTTAGTATTGCATCAGAGAGCCTTTTCTTTATTGATATTTATCCGTTTGATTATGCTTTCAATTTGTGATATTTTATATTAATCAGACCTTGTTTTTTCAACAGCAGATTGCGAAAAGTAATCTATAGGAGGAATCAATCCAATCCAGTCCAATCCAATCCATAGGAGGTGCCGTGTTCCCTAAGCTAAAACTGAAAACATAATCAAACGGATTGTTACCCCAGATATATATCCGTGTCCATCAAGACCTGGATTCATGAACTTCAATAATCCTTTGTTTAATATCTTCTTGATGATTCGGTGCCCTTGGTTCTTCCTGCTTTCATCTCAAATGAAGACAGAGTTCATAATAATCAAGAGGAGGAAGATAATTATCAGGTTTCAGAAGGATATGGTTACGAGTCAAAGAAGCCTCTGTTTCCCCCTTCTTTCGCTGAACTTGAGTTGGAGATGAAGGAATCAATCCAACCCATAGGAGGTGCCTTGTTCCCTAATCTAAACTGGAGTGCACCAAAAGACTGCTTGAACCAGCACAACTCTCAGATGCTCCTCATCATTGTGATTGCACTGCTGTTATTCATGCATCAAGACCCGATGCAGCGACAAAACCTCATCAGGTCCCAAGAGTTTCTTCCTTGCACTTTGTAAGGGCACCAATCCCTTCAGCCAGAGATGGAATTCTTCTGCTTTGTACGGAGTCAGAATCTAGTCGGAATTCCAATGTGAGGTTACTGCCTTTTGCCCTGCTCTCCCTCAGAAGATGATCTTTGAGCATTGATCAAAGAGTATATTTACGGAGAACTTGAGATCAACACATTTGAATCAGAAAATTACACCTTTGATGTGAGCGACGAAGGATGAACAATTCAACGCACGACGTGCATTTTTTTCCTGGTACCTCTGATGCTTACCTTGAAGTAATTGGATCAGAATCATGATGAACAAGAGGAAGAAGGGAGAAGGAAAGGCAAACGAAGGAAAGTTTTGTTTCATACAGACTCAAATCAGATTGGTAGCTTTTTCTTATTCAGGACATGCGTGTTTACACAATTTTTAGTCTCTTTGTTCCCTTATTACGTTGGATCTATAGATTAACATAAATGAATGATTGATTGATAATCCAAGCGGTGGATTGTTCTGGTAATTCGGGTGTATTTCTTTAACCCACTGCCTTCTCGGTTCAAACCCACACCACTCCTCTTTAGTCTAATTAAATTAGTAATATCCTTCGTAATAAAAAGAAATGATTGACTGATAATGTTTTCAAATTATTTAAGAATCTAAAAACACATAGAAACGAGCTTAATTAATAATTAAGAAAATACTTTTAAGGTTAAAGATTAACGATCATCACAAAGCAATTGGCAAAACAAAAGTGGGAATGCCATACTGCCACTCAATACTACGATCTAGTGATATTCCTTTTCACTCAGATGTGAAGGATCTTAGGTTCAAATCTTTTGGATGACAAATTCGATACCAAATTAGGCTGTCCATTGTTTGGCTTTGCCGAACTCCCTCTCCTCTTAATGTAAAAATATCGATGTACTTGATAAAAAAAAAGTGGAAATGTCATAATTGTGTGGCCATATTTATAGTGAGTCTCCTGTAATCTCACTATTGTTTTTTTCTTTTTTTCTTTTTTTTAAAAAAAAACCGTATCGTCGTATCCATCCATATGCATTGAACAAATCAACCGTTTTTCGATTCTTGTTTAGTATAAATCCATCAGTTATAGTATGGATTTTGGGTGGTAATATATATATAATATATATATATATATATATATATATATATATATATATATATAAGAACCATGCACGTTGAACACCCAAAAAATTCCAGAAGCAAGCAAATGGCTTCTTCTTCTTCACTCGTTCGAAATAATGCATTTTTGGCGCTGATATTTCTTGTAACTGTCAACAGTGCCACTATACGTGACGCACTTATACAACTGGGCATTGTTGTTTCACTGACTAATGATTTGGGTGCAGGCATCGACCTCACTGTTCATTGCAAATCCGGCGACCGCGATCTTTGTGTTCATGTCGTGCCTTATCACGGATTCCATGAATGCATTGTTCATAGACGATTTGAAGGTTCACTAAACCTGTGCAGTCTCCAATGGCATAATATTGCACATACAACGGTTACGTTATACGAAAAATCAAGAGACTGGCCTGCATGCGGAACTTATTGTTCCTGGACCATAACACAGGACCGCATGTGCCTGATACCCTTCGGGAACGGGCCTACAGAAGAAAATTGCTACCCTTGGGATTCCTAAGGAATTCACATAACATGGAGAGGACTTGAAGTCTCTCTCTTCTTATTTTTCATGAATTATTATATTTATTCGATCGATCGATCGATCGATCTTCTCTCTCACCTGAACCAAACTTCTCTGCAACATGTTTGTTTCTATTGTGCCAAAGATGTTGAGTTTTACTGAAGAGGTTCAATGGCAGGCAGTCACTGCTTCCAAAGGAAGAGAATGGACTCCAAATATGCTTCTTAATTGTGTTTGTTTTTGGAAAAGTGGGATTGTCTTCAGAAGCAGCTTCTGCCTGGCTCGGTGGATAAAATCTGCTTTTTCCTTAAAGATGAAAGTTTGTAGTTAGCATCAATCTCTTCATTTAACTTCACTCATTTGTTATTGATTACCATACATTTCATATAATCTGTTATTATTTTCATTTTCTTTTGAAAACGTTTGGTCGTACGACTCATATCCGTCAATCCATATGCATTGAACAAATCAACCATTTCGATTTTGTTTAGTATATAATCCATGTTTATAGTATAATAATTTTGGTTTTCCCAGAAACAGTTAGAGGAAGGAATGAATGTTTTCGTTATATAAAAGAACCATGCACGTTGATGTTTGAACACCCCAAAAAATTCCAGAAGCAAATGGCTTCTTCTTCTTCACTCATTCGAAATAATGCATTTTTGGTGCTGACCTTTTTTTTTTTTTTTTTTTTTTTCCCAGCAGTGCTACTAGATATGCCCTAAGATATGGTGCTGACATTTCTTTTTAAGCACTTCAGAATCAAATCAAATCTTGATACATTTGTGTGTGTGTGTGTGTATAATGCATAAAACTACATCAATTTCGTGGCCTGTGTATGAGAGAAAGTGATCACTAATTACTTATTGCAATTTCTAAGCACGATCGCCTTTGAAGTTAAAAATCATCGAGATTTAGCATCAAATTGACATTGAGTGCGTCACAAGTAATTGCTTTTGGTTTGTCACTGGTCCTGCTAGATTTCTTCAAACTCTGCCTCCTCTCTTCGAAGAGCGGGTCGCTGCTTCTTCTCTGTGGATTGAAGCTTCTCTATTCCTGAACAAGTGCTTTATGCTACGATGTGTTTTCAACGCAAGCATATATATTCTATTCAAGTATAGACTTGTAAGCACGAGCTCGAACCCACAAGGATTGTAAGACAAAGATGTAAGGCAAAGGAGTCTGCAATACCAAGCAGAATATTGGAGGGGGGAATAGTTCTGATTCACTAAAAAATGTAAACAATGTTCAATACATTATCGTCTGGATTAAGAAGCAAACAATATAAAAATTAATCTCCAAACATCAGAATCTGAAGTCAGGATCCACAGTCATTGCCAAGCAAACTTTCTCAGTTGAGTGGTGTTGAACATCCTCTGAATTGGAACTTGATTTCGCTTGCACCATGCAACCGTGATCCTAGGGTCAAGATAGTTGAGTTTCGATGTTCCCAGCGCCACTGTTTTCAGATCCTCTTTCGTTCTCATGCCCATCTCCATGTTTCCGATGTCCGCAGTTTTTTGAGCTATCTTCTTCTCCAACTCATCTGGGGTCAAATTCCTCTTTGCTTCTTTCCATCAGCGTCAGTCGGCGGCTGTGGCTTTCCTCTTTTCGCCCTTTCCAACTTTGTTTTCAGCTCTTTTAGGTTGTCACGAACGCCGCCAATCTTTTCCATCAATTTAGACATTTGTTCTTCGTGAGACTTTGAAATTGTACGCTGGTGATTACAGATGATGGCAACCTCTTTGTTTGCGTGGTTATAAACAGCGACTTTCTCTGAAAGATCTGCTTCGTCTTTGATTTCCTTGTTCAACAAGTCATCCAATGTGATAGAAGCATTGTATGTACGAAACACTTTTGCCGTAAGGCCAGGCATCTGTTGCTTTAAATGAGCATTCAATCTACTCGCATCCAGCTTGTCGAAGAGATGATCACCACCGCGTTTCCCGGCCTGGAACTGTCTAATTTCCTTGTAAACAGGAACCTCAACTTCAACGGTATTTTGGTATCTGATCGAATCTTTACCAAGGAAGTTAAACTCCATCGAGTTAGGGCCGATTGCTTTCACATGCTCTACCTTCAATGTGCAGCAACCAACAGTATCAGCTTCCTCTTCTCCCTTTTCATTTCCCGCCCTCAGAGCAAGCTTATCGATGAGATAGGTTGCAACCGCTATCTGCCTCTTCACGCAATCTTTACTAGTAAAATCCCTGTAATCTGCCCTGATTTTCCCAATGTAGTCCTTGAGCATCCTCGCATTCTCGTACTTCTTCTGGTCACTTTCTATCTTCAAGGAGCTACTCTCCCCAAGAGACAGGTACCTGAATTTATTTGGATTGATTGGATCTGTCCAGAAAGCTAACCATGTAACCGTATCATCATGCCTCACTTCCTTCCACCTTTCGCAGGGGACAGGACATTCTGGAACCGGTGCATCCTGCCCTATGTTGATCGAAACATCACTTGGAAGAATCCGCCTTTTTACCTTTCCTGATTTTGGATGCTCCCCTCGGCCTCTGAACAATCCAGGAGGTTCAACTTTGAAGCTTCCAACTCTCTCTTTTTCGCCATCAACGAACGCCCACGCATACTTCTCCTCTCGTTTCTTTTTCTCCGCCCCCGCGGCCTTCTTCTCTTCCCTACTCATTTGTTTCCTGTCTTGCTTTTCTTTCATACACCACTCGTATATTGGGGTGAAATCGCAACCATCCAACCTCCGAATTACGTGGTTCTCCCCGAGCCACTTACGCCAATCATTCCAAAAATTGTTTCGGAACGTTTGCTTCTTCTGCACGTAATCTGTATCTTTCATCACGGCGTATATAATTGTGACCTCCTCTTGTTCCGGACTCAAGTCTACCGGCTTCCCTTCATACATCATCTTTACACCATGGGGCTCGTACGGAGGCGGAAAGATCACACCGTTGTGAACCAAAATTTCCATTTTTTCTGCTCATCATTAGAGCTCGCTCGGTAGCACATTCGTCGACTTAGGGCAACTCGAAAGTTTCAAACCATTTTGGCCTCATTGCCTTCTTCTCTGTCAACAACGTATCCTTTGGGAAATTGGAATCAAGTCGTCGTCTTTTTCCTCCTTAATTTTTAGGGTAGATGTTGAAGAACAAGCATGTGAAACTTTTGGCCTTTTAGGTGAAGAATTTGCCCTATGATCTAGGGGTCTCTTCCTCTTTTCATAATTGTAATCTTGATGATAAAGGTTTATCGTCGTCCTCCTCCTCCTTGGAATCTTGAGAAGGTTTCACCAGTTGTCTGGCAGTAGCCATCGGTTTTTCGCCTTTGGAATCATCACTGTTTGCATGAGAACCGCGGATGGATAATACTGGGTCCTGACCAGTCGAGAAGCAGCAATAGGTTTTTCGTCTTCGGAATCATCACTAGTTTCTTGAGCAACAAAACTACGATTTTCTTGAGCAGATGACATGGTTGATGGAACCATCTTTGCCCTGTTGGTGTCCATTTTTGAACGCTAAAGAAAATAGGAAATAGGTTGATTAATAAAATAAGGGTCGTCTAAATAAAATATATTTTTCTGCCAATAGATCTTCTTCTGATCCTCTTTGTGAGGATTCTAGGGATGCTTTAAGTGTGTCCGTCTATCGTACATCGTGTGGTCAGAAAACATTTTTAATTTTTTATTTAAAATTGAACACAAGCAATACTGGACGAAAATTGACCACACGAGGTACGATGAACGGACACGATTAAAAGATATCTGGGATTCTCACAAAGAGGATCCGGAGAGGATCCTCATTCCATTTTTTGGGCGTGGTTTTTACAAATGTGTCAGAATTTGAATTTTCTAGAAAAGCAATTCAACGCTTGCAGCCTCGTTTGGCAAAAAGAAATTAGCTACACATATTCATATTCATATTACAGACAGATTGCATGTTAAATATATATTCTAAGTTGAACATCATAAGTAGAAAATGCATTAGGACAAAAAACACTGTTAACAAGATTTAGGGTTTTTCCGGGCACAAATTTTTGGGACAACGTCCTACACCACTATTTCCAGTCCAATATCTGACTCAATGATCCATAATTGGTCCGGAAGATTGGATTAAAACGGATAATCAAAAGTATGGTGTAAGAAATGAAAAATTCAGAGTCAAATTCTACGCGTAGGAGATAAATTTCTCAAGAAGAAAAAATGATCCATTCCAACGATTTCAATGGTTTCAATCAAAACAAAATTACTGAATAAAATTACCGTAAAACTCAAAGGAAGCATTTTCCCAAGTTCACAGCACATTACACAACAGATCGAAGATACAGTCTCAATATGTACCACCTGTGGTATCGAAAACTAAGGTCTCAACTCAATGCAGCCTTGTCATTTCTTCTACTCTCTTGCAGAGCTCCTCCACTGAAACGCGCATTTGCTTTGAGATCTCGTCCATCTTGCTACGGTTGAGATCAAGGAACGATTCTATCAGATCGCCATCCAAGAAATTTTTCGCGTCTACAGTTTTCTTCTCGTTGCTGAATGATCTCCACTGCTCATGGTTCAACCCTCCAACACCCTTTATCACCTTCCTCAAGTTTGACTGGAGCTTCTCCAAAAATGCATATTGTTCTTGAGGAAGTGAGGCAATAACTCCAATTACACCATTGACGGTGCCAAAGATGACAGTTGGAATCTGGCCCACGTCAGAGTCTGGCAACCGCATGACAAGAGAGCCGTGCCGGAACCTATTGACAAACTCGCCTAGGTGATACTCACCTACAACCTCAAGGCGGCCCCGTTCCTCATCAGTTGCACCCTCACTATTTTTACGAACGGTGAACAGGTTGACGAAATTTTCAGCTCCAATGTAAACATCGTCGTCGAGGATCTCTACAGCAGACATCCAATTTGCATTATAATCACGGGCTCGCTCCTCAATGGCACCTTCCTCATGCTGAATACAAGAACAAAAAATTTCGGCTCAGCAAGAGAACAATGTTTAACATTACCAAACCTAGGGGAGATGAATTTACGGACGACCAAGGGCAACAAGAGAGTAAAATCTGGGTCTACAAATTCCAACAAGAGAACCTCACTATTACCAAGACAAAACATTAAAACATGTCGCACGCTGGACTAGCAGACACAGAGGGGACTCTTCTTATGAGGCATTGATTAAGCAAATCAACTACTGCTACTACTTTGAGTAAGTACTAATCCATGGCATGCAGAGGGCTGAAAATTAGTTTTCTTACCTTGTACATTAACAGAGAAATTGACTTCATTAAGTCCCCAACAATGATGAAATCTCCACGAGTCTGGACATAAAGGGCAAGTATGTGGCCATGATGTCCACATTCCGATTGCAATTCACGAGTACCATCGTCCCGCAGAGTCCACTTGTATAACTGTATCTTCTGATTAATAGCAGCAAGTAACTTGCCATTGAACGCATTCAACGAGTAAACAGACCCCTTGGTTTCCTTCTCAGCAACGAGCTGCAGCTTCCCATCTTCAACAATGAAAACCAGAATGCGGCCCTACAATTATACAAATATCAGCTAGTTACCACCAGTTCAAGTGAGATTTCTGCACTAAAACCAGTAAACTAAAATCCTATCTTACCTTGGTTGGCTCATTTTCTTCCGGGAGAACATATGCAGTCCCGACACAGTAATATAAATTACTGTCATCTGAGAAAGAACAGCTAAGTATAGAGCAGGCATACTCAAAAGTGTCCAGTTGATAAAATGTTATGAGGTCAAAACTCTGGTCATCTAACAATCGGATGAAGTGTGTTTCTGAGTCTTCTGCACTAGACTGGTTATATTTCACACTCAAAATGGCGAAAGTCCTGGACTGCTCCTGATGACAGATACGTCGTGCATGCTCGCCTAGGGGAATAGAGCGAATATGAAGCTTCTGGATGTCATCAATTGTGCCGATAGTAAGTTCACCTTCCTTAGCAATTGCAAGGCTGTTGTCACGAGAAAGGAAAAATAAAAGGAAAACTGTTTACTTTGAAGGTTGAGAGTTTAAGGAGGTTGGGGGAAGAGTTCCCCCGTCAAACCTATGTAGTAACAGAACAGAAAGAAAAAAAAACTTATGTTTGTGTCTAAGTTGCAACTAGACCAGAATTTTTATGTAAATTTTCATTTAAATCAATATTTAAAACATGCTAATATACATCTGGTCAGTTGCTGTAATATTTTACATAATTTTTATTCAATTACATATTTAAAACATGCTAATTGCATATACGACATCTGGTCAGCTGCTATAATAAAGCATTGTATCACACCAACAAAGGGTAACTCTAATAATCAATTTGGAATCTAACTCATCATTCTGACTACTATAAACCATCCTGGTATGATAATTTACATAAAATGGCAACCATCACATAAGTAATAGAGGATTACAAACTGAAAGTATGAAAAAGATAAGATATTTGGATATACACTTAACCTCGTATCCACCAAACCGAGATCCTATCTGTATTTTACGAGTGATCAATAGAAAGAGAAAAGTACCTGTCTGGAAAAGCAGCAGAGTTGAATGGGCACATATGGCTGACTTCTTTCAGATTTACGTTGCTGTAAAGCAATTTCTTGTTGCTACTATAGATGACAGTTGGCCTATCCGATGCAGCAAATACATGCGTAGTACTCTTGGATGAGAAGGTACGGAGTGTAATGGGTTGCGTCCCAAGTGAGACTTTTTTCCTGTCCGTCAACTCACCAGTGCTTGTGTTCAAAATAAAGTTTAAGAGGTGCCCATCTCCAAGGGCACACAATAGGTAGGATATCTGATTAAAAAAACACAGTATCAAAAAGCTTACTCAATAACCAAATAACTAAAGTAAAAACTTATGAACTAAAGAAAGCAATAGATGTGCAAACTAATACTCCCTCATCTATGCTACAGAAGTCCACATTGATTGACGCAACAACATAGGCCCATACTCGCTAGTAAATTCGAAAATGATGATAATGAAATTCATAATCAGTTAAACATGCTATTAGAAGAGCCACTCCCCAATGGTAATTCCAAAAAAGACATTGTATTTCTGACCAATATTAATGAGAAATACGGATTGAGTACAACTGAGAATCGATTTAGTGAAGTAGGCTCAAACACAGGCATACCCCTTCAAAGGCACAAAGAAGAACAGAACGAGGTATGATCTCCCCTCCCAAATGTTCCTTTGTGATGCGGCTCAGGTCAGGAAGTGAATATATCTGGACACTAATATCTGTCCACATTCCAACAGCTGCCAGCTGGCTATAGTTGGGATTGTCGCCTATGGGGTTTATGTCAAGGCATGATATCTCAAAATCTAACTGTGCATGGTTTTTCTCTGTCAATACCCCATCACCTATTTCCAAATAAACTAAATGCTTTCCACCAGTCGCCAATAAAACCTGTCACAGAAGTAGATTAAATCAACAAGTTAGCGCATCAGCATCAGGCAACAAAATGTTAATGCAGACATCCATGAAAAGAAACAATACCATGTTAGGAAACAGTATTATGGTATACTCATTTGCAATTCTGAGACTAGAAAGCGGATTTATCCACACTGGAGAATCTATTAAATATTTTTTATTTCCAATTTCAAAGAAATAAGAGAATTAACTTAGGTTTTGGGAGTCAACAGAAGCCCCTTACGAAAAACCACCTATTCTAGATTATAATAGTATAAGATATTCTGAATATTGAAGGGGAACATGATTCCTAAATCCTTGTGTTTCACTCAAGATTTTCCCCCAAAAAAAAAAACAAAAAGCTAAAAACTGATTTGATTAAATGACACAGCTAAAACTGCCATGGTCCTTGCTTGAATGATTAGTTATTAATATAAAAACACAATTTTTATTAGCTTACTTGCAAACTTAAAAGTGAGAACAAGTAGAAACAAAACCTGGGTGGCATTAGCAGTGGCAACATTAATTGAATTGCCTGCTGGAGCATTC